AAATGAGGCTAGTTTAAGAGAACTCTGGGACAACATGAAACACACTAATAGTCACATTGTAAGGGTCCCAGAAAGAAAAGAGAAAGGACCTGAGAACATTTTTGGAGAGATAATCACTGAAAACTTTCCCAATTTGGGAAAGGAAACAGTCACCCAGCTGCAGGAAGCACAGAGACTACCACACAGAATCAACCCAAAGAGAAACACACTAAGGCACATAGTCATCAAATTGACAAGAATTAAGGATAAGGAGAAAATATTAAAATTAGCAAGAGAAAAGCAACAAATAACATACAAGGGAACTCCCATAAGGTTATCAGCTGATTTTTCAGCAGAAACTCTACAGGCCAGAAGGGAGTGGCATGATATATTTAAAGTGATGAAAGGGGAAAACTTACAACCAAGAATACTCTATCCAGCAAGGCTCTTGTTCAGACTTGATGGAAAAAATCAAAAGCTTCACAAATAAAAGCTAAAAGATTTCAGAACCACCAAACCAGCTTTACAATAAATGTTAAAGGACCTTCTCGAGTCATCAAACCATAAGAAAAGAGAACAAAAAGGAGGAAAAAAAAGACCTACAAAAGATTGCTTTGGCTGTTCGGGGTCTTTTATGGTTCCTTGTGAATTCTGGTATTGTTCTAGTGCTGTGAGGAATGCTGTGGGTATTCTGATGGGGGTTGCATTGGATCTGTAGATTGCTTTGGATAGTGTGGCCATTTTGATACTATTGATATTTCCAATCCAAGAGCACAAGAAATCTTTCCATTTTTTGTGTCATTTTAGTTTTCAGAATATAGGTAACTTCCTTGGTTAGGTTTATTTCTGGGTATTTTGTTGTGTTTGATGTTAGAAATGTTTATGCCAGTTATAAAATTCTGGTTTTTGAAGTGAAAAGAAAAAAAAAAGTGAATGAAGGGCCATAAATGGCAAAATATCCTTCTTTATGTGTACTTAGGATACTTCCATATCTTGGCAATTATAATAAATATAATATTTATTATATTTATAATTTATTTATAAATATATAAATAATGTTGCTGTTAATAGCAGGGTATATGTATCTTTTTTAATTAATTCTTATTTTGTGGTTGGCTTTATTCCTTTGATAACCATGTAAGTTTAAAAAGCTAAAGCTCTAAAAATTTTTAGAGAAACAATGAACAGTACATACATGTAAATTAAAAAATATATGTGCAGTTAAAAAAAAAAGAGCTATCAAGCCATGAGAGACATGGAAGAAACTTAAAAGACATATTACTAAATGAAAGAAGCCAGTCTGAAAAGGCTACAAACCGCACGATTCCAACCAAATGACATTCTGGAAAAGGCACAGCTACAGAAACAATAAAAAGATCGTGGGTTTCCAGGGGTTTGTGGGGAGGGAGGAAGGGAGGAATGAACAGATGGAGCACAAGGGATTTTTAGGGCAATGAAATTATTCTGTATGACACTATAAGGGTGGTTTCATGTAACTATGCATTGGTAAAAACCCACAGAATGTACAACATCAAGAGTGAACCCTAATGTAAACTATGGACTTTGGTAGATAATAATGTGTCCATGTCGGTTCATCAATGGTACCAAATATGTCACACTGATGAGGGATGTTGAGAGTAGGGGAGTATATACGTGTGGGTGGGGAAGGCTATGTGCGAACTCTGTATTTCCTGCTCAATTCTGCTGTGAACCTGAAGCTGCTCTAAAAAAGTAAAGTCTATTAGCTAAATAAATAAATAAATAAATAGCTGTTTCCTTATTGCTTTCCAATGAAGAGAAAAAATTCTAATTTTACCAGGAAGCTAAACAAATTTAAATGTACACTATATAGAAAGATGTACATTGCTTTGAATGTGTACAAATATGTACAAAAAAGGCTGCTATTTCAATGTCAAGTTCAAACTGGGGAAAAGAGGGAGGGAAGCAGTCCACATTTTACTGTAAATAAACTGGAAGAGACTTCATTCTATAGGCTGCAGTACTCCCAGTGCCTACAAGAATGTATAACATACAGTAGGTATTCAATAAACATTTTGAATGTCGAGTGAATAGTATAAATTAGACTATGTGACTCAGGCTCCGTAAGTCAATATTCTTACAGAATATCCAGATTTTAGATTTGTCTTTCTAAACAAAATATTAACTAAATCATAAAAAAACATAAAAGCCCTTAAATTTAAGACACAATAAAATGCAAACTATGCATATGCAGAGTATGGAAGTGTATGATGATGTCTGGGCAATACAGTACACATTTATGTGTACAGGGCATCTGGCTTGTGTGTACACACTATGCCAGCATCTATAGTACACATGGATACAGTGTCTTTAATGAGTCAATAGACAAGCAAAGAGACTAAACTATGTAAGGAACTATAATGAATTATTCTAAGGTGTCCACAGAAGCTAGACAATAGGACAGAAAATGGAATTAAAGACATAATAGTCTTTGCTCTAATTCCACATCAAGCTATCAAAAAAATTACCGAAAAAAAGCTATCAAATAAAACGATTTCCTATGGAAACTTTCCAATAAAAGAAAAACACTGACCAGTCCACACGGCTTATCTATAGTATTTCAAATGCAGTCACGAAACTTTCATTCCAGATTTCCAATCAATTTTGTGATTTAAGTTGGAATTAGTATCCCAAATCGTGATTATCAATGAATGAACTGATAAAACCATGTTTTGGTCCTAAAATGGGACCCTGTCAGCAACCCTCTCCCAGCCAAGCATAGCATGGCACTATTTCCTCTTCCACACGACTTCTGCATCTTATCCTTATTTCCACTGTGACACATTTCCAATTTATTTGTGTATGGCTACTAAGCACATGTTTGTTGAAGAAAAATAAATATTTCTTATTCAGTAAAATTATTTATGTCAACAAACCAAAGACTCATACTTGTACATGAAGAAGAAATAAGAGGATCCTACAAGAATGCAAAGCCAACTTCAGAGTCAGAACAAGCTTTAAACAACTGTTATCCATTATATAAACATACTGATTAAGCCTTCTACTGGCTGCAAGGATTATAGAAATATAAGACTCACAGCCTAGACCAAAGGTCAGCAAACTATAGCCCATGAGCCAAATTAGCCTGTTTTTGTAAATAAAGTTTTACTGGGATGTAGCCACACTCACTGTTTACATATTGTGTATTGCTGTTTTCACACTAGTACGGCAAAACAGAGCAGTTGTGACATAAGACTGTCTAGCCCATAAACCATTTATTACCTGGCCCTGTGCAGAATAAGTTTGCCAATCCCTAGCCTAGGGGGAATTCACAGTTTATGCAGATCTGAGAAGCCATGGTTTGAATATCCCAGGGGAGCGAAGGGAGGATGTGAGGGCATAGATGAAAGGGTTAGCTGAAAATTAAGTGAACATGGAGAAGCAGCCTGACACAGAAATAAAGGAGAGTGTTCCAGGTAGAGTAAATTACATGGGAAAGGGCTTGAGGCAAAAGGATACAGGGCAGGTTTAAGTAACTGCAGGAGACAGGTATTGTCAGAGTGTAGTATACAAAGTGGGGAAAGACAAGGCTGGAGAAAAGGGCATTATAAGCTGCATTTGCCAAGGTGAAGAGTTTGTATTTTTTAAGAATATATATCACTTAAAGCTCACACCAAGAAAATCAAAATCAAACACACCCAAAAAAAAACCCCACCTCTGGAAGAACATACAAGAAACTAATTGAAAGAAGTTATAGAGGGAAAACGGGTCCTGAACCAGGACAGATTTTTAAAATCACATGAACACATCACCTATTCTAAAATTACATATTAAAAAGTGTGGGTTTTGTCATAAAAGAAATATTTAAGGAATTTAAATGAGAAGTGATAAGATTAGACAAGCAAATTCGATAGATTATTCTGCAGCTGCAACACAGAGAAAGGCTAGAAGGAGCAGAGAGCAGTCAGGAAGGTATTAACAGACCACTGACGATTTAACGCAAATATATGAACAATGTATTGTGGAGCTTACATCAAATGAAGAAGTAAAAACATGACAGCCTTCAAAGGATGGGAAAGGAAGTAAAAGGAATTATATTACTGTAAGATTTTTACATTCTTTTTTAAGTGAAATAACATTAGAGGTAAAGTAGGATATGGAAAGGATGAATACTACAAACTCTACATTAACCATTAAAAACAATAATACAAGTATGTTTCAATAAAAAGCCAAAAGAGAAAATTATGTAGAATTTTAAGAAAAAATTTTATAAAAAAGAAACTGATGAATTAAAAACCAGGTAGGAACAGACACACAAAGGAACAAGGCACAAATGGGATAAAATGAAAAGAATTAGCAAAATGGTAACATACACCCAACCATTTCAGTAATTACATTAAATATAAATGTACTAAGCCAATTATCATTATGGCTAAAGATTATCATTATGGCTAAAAAACAAAACCCAACTATATGCTCTTTACAAGAGACACATTTAAAAAATAATGACAAATTACAAGAAAAAGAACAGAAAAAGACAAATGTTAACTAAAAAAAAAAAAGGCCAGAGCAGCTATATTAATATCAGAGAAACTATTCCTAGAGCCCAGAGATAAAGAGGGACATTTCATAACAATAAAAGGACTGATCTATAGCAGACAAAACAATCCTAAATGTTTGTACCCAATTAACATACTTAAAAATGAAGCAAAAAATAAAAAGGAAAAACACAAATCACTGTCATAGTCAGGGTTAACACCGCACACAGAAAAAAGCAGACATGAACAGTTACATCAATATTGAGACATAAAACCCGCTAGAGTAGTTGCCTTTCGGTGGGAGTGGAGAGGAATAACTGTCAATAGCAAGAAAAAAGGGAAAATGTAAAATTGAATCAAACAAAACAAAGCCTCACATAAACTGATGACGGGATTCCATACATTAAAGGTATGTGTACCTCAACTCTCTAGACATCAGATTAAAAGCAAAAATTAAGGATCAAATTTATTGGAAAATCCAAGTATTACAGACGTTTTTCTTACCAGCATCACTGTTAAATTCATAATTCTCCCAAGGTTATCAATGTAGTAGACGCTGTCTTGATACCACGAATCACAGTGTAGGTAATTATACATTCCAAAAGCATGCATGTGTTCCAGGGTATACTGATCATCTCGAAGTTTTACTTCTGCCACAGCTGAAATGTAAGAAAAATATTAAGAGTTTTGCTTCAGATTGTTCCTTCCTGCAAGATGCCAATGAGACGAAAAAAAAAAATCACAGATGCTAATCACCAAGGCCTTCAGGACAATTTACCTTATTATTCATTCAAAAACAATTTCTAAGCACCTACTTGGCACTGTGTGCAGAGAATATAGTGAGTAAAACTGACAAGGCCCCTGCCCTTACAGAACTTAGAATACAGTGGCCTTGGGAGATGGAGCTTTTCATACCACTCTCTTTCCTTTTGGGTACCTCCCCCTTGCAATTACGAATGAAAAGAACAGAGAAATTCTAAACTTAAAAGATTTCCTGTCCTTTGGGCAAATATTGAGTCCCCTTATAAAGTGGTTTTATACTTTCAAAAATGCTTTACCTCTATTACCTCATTTTTAACACACATTAAGAAATAAAGGGAATGTTTCTATTATCTCTTTACACAATTATGGAAACAAAGGCAAGTGTAAATGGTGACTTCTCTAACGTTATACCACATCTTTCCCAAGAGTACAGAACAAAACAATATCATACCTGGAACAGAAACAAGGTTCCCTACTTAAAAGAACAGGGCTTTTTCCACAGGGCATTAGCGGCTTCCATAATTTTATTTTACTTTTTTCCAGCTTTACTGAGATATAAGTGGCATATAACATTGTATAAGTTTAAAGTATACAACATAATGATTTGATATATGATCTATATTGTAAAATAACTACCAAAATAAGTTTACTTAACACAATCATCACCTCATAGTTACAACTGCTTTTCTTGTTATGAGAACTTTTAAGATCTACTCTTAGCTGCTTCCATAATTTTACATCTGCCACATGTGATCTCTGCCTCCCACTCCTCCTTCCGTTCTATGTAGATACAAACCCTGTACAGTCAGGGCCATCAGTGACCTAGAATTAATTTCTGTTCCAACAGGAAATACAGAAGTAGACTATGCTGGGCCAGTATCTTACCTTAATTATAAAACTCACCTTACTGTATTCTGATTGCAAATATTTACACCTTTTGTCTAGAATGCTTACCTGTTCCTACTTCTATTAGCTGCCTGGAGTCCTGGCTGACTTATATTTATTCAGCAAATATTTTAATAGGCACAAATGATACAATGATGATCAAAAAACATAGAATCTACCTTCTTAGCATTTATGATCCAGTGGGGAAATGGACAGATGTTAGTCAAATAGTCAAATAAATAAAAAGAAAATTAAACTGTAATAAATGTTACAAAGAAAAATTACTGGGAACCGTGAGAACAAATAATATTGGAAGCTGATCTACTTGGGGATTAATGAGGCTTTCAAAAATCTGAGCCAAGCTACAAAGAATAAGGTAGTGTTAACTTAAGAAATATCCCTACACACACAAACACACACAAACACACACACCACGCACACACACGCACCCTTATCACAGGCAAAAGGAGAGCAGGAGAAAGTAGGAGGAAAAACTTGTGTTCAAAAAACCAAAAGATGGCCAGCCTCGTTGAAACACAGAGCAACAAGGAGAACTGTACAAGGAGAGGCTACAGATAAGCTAGAGAACCGGGCAGAAGCCAGATCACAAAAGGCCTTTATTTATCTTTGTTGATAAACTCAATGTAATAAGAATTCATTAAAGAGCTTTTAAGTAGGAGAGTAGAGTCCAGATTCGATTTTATAAAAGATTACTTATAACTAAATACAGAAAACAGACCAGAGCAAAGGAAAGTACACCCAGGAAGATCCATCAGGAAGCTCTTGCAGTAATCCACGTGAAGGATGGCTGAAGTGTGGAGACCTAGCAGAGGTAAAATCATTACCACTTTATGAAAGATTTGATAGAGGCTGAGGAAACTGTTATTACATAACTCAAGGAAATATTTATTTTATAAGGAAGTTAAAAATACCTATTTCGCTGATTAGAAGGGAAACAATCATCAATTCTTGGTTTTCTAGCACCACTGTGTGGATTAAACTCAATACTGCAGGAAGTGTCCAAGGTAACATAATGGCCCGAAGCAGTAATATTAGACAATGATATAACAAATACATTTTCTTCATATTTGTGCAATCCTGAACAAGCCAGAGACTTCTTAGCCTGCTACCTTAGTACAACAGCTCGTCTGTCAATACACAGATCTGGAAAACCATTTTTGGAAACCATGAAATAGCCTAAGTGTTCAGTTGCTGCATTCTGCCAAGGTAATTTATGTAAGTTATTAGGACACAAATGAAGGGCACATTACATTGTTTTGCAAAAGCTGACAGTACACAGAAAAAGGCCACCCCTGTGGCCCCAAATGAGAAAGGAAAAGTTATTGCACTTACCATGTCAATCATTTTGAGTATACAAGGGCAGGCAGAGCAAACGAAAAGAGAAAAGCAGTGTCCAGAATGTGACAGAGCTGAGCCACTAGCAGGGCTCTTCTGTATAGCCTAAGAGAAGGGTGGACAGCAAGGACAGTAGTCTCAAACCTAGCTTGGACCTTTTAACTGACTGAAGGAGAGGAATCTCTTTAGCAGGGGGCTAAGAAGCCAGTGTAGTAAACTATTTTATCATTTAACATTATCTTCCATTGGAAATAAAAGAGGTTTGCTGAAAAATTCTTCTTATTCTTTCAAAAAGAAATTAGGGCCTAACAAGAAGGAAATTTCTCTTAATCTTTACCTAAATTTCTTATAAAGCATGCATGGAACCTCAAAAACTTCTAGTTTTTCATTCACAAATTACTTACTGAATGTCGACTACGTACCAGACATGGTGCCTGGTACTGGGCCAATATCGGTAAATAAAACAGACATGATCCCTTTCCTAATGGTGCTAACAATGGTCACAATTACCGCTTTTTGTCCTTTCAAAATATACAATTATAGTGAACCACATGAAATTGTCAATATTCAATGCTTCTGACACCGATTAAATATGATTCACTATGATACTTATATGAGCAAAGTACAGCAGTTTTTTAAAAAGGTAGCGGCAAAGAACACTAATTTACAAAGGTCACTTCTTAGACCACTCATCTTCTAGAATCAACCTAATGAATTAAATCTTCTTTTTACCTAATTACTGAGTTTGCTATTTGCATATAAACATAAAAAAGCAAGAGTCTGTATAACAAGTTCTGAAGCAAAATTTATAGAACAGGGTAGAGCTTCCGTTTCTCTTCCCCAAATTTTCCTCCAGAAGAGTAGGCATGAATTTCATAGTAAAATTACATAAATACAGTGGTTACAAGGCTCTTCTCTCCCTTTACTCCAATTACAGCTTAAATCTTCACCAGCTTTTATTCTCCCTGCCCTGAAGAAACAGCCCGGAGAGACCACATAAAGCATTAGAAAAAGCATGCGTGTTAGGGTCAGGTTTGCCACTGACAAGCAGCTTAAGGTTGTTACCTGACTTTCTACCCTGATTCCTCATCTGTAACAAAAGTTAATAATATGCATCCTATAAAATTATTCACAAGCTTAAGTTAAAAACATGTGAAGTATTTGCTACTTGGCACCTCAGAAGAAAAAGAATGTTAATTTCCCTGTTCCTCTCCTCCCTTCCAAGGCTAATTCTCACACAGCTGTTAATGCCTCTTCTAGGCCCTTCCTCCAGTTATCTCCTCTCCACTGGCCCCTTCTCCTCCACTTATATACAAAAAGGTATAAAACTTTCCATAAAAAAAATGACAAAAATTTCCTCTTCTCTGCCCTGCACTCAGAGCTCTCTCCTACCCTGTACTTCTCAAACTTCTCTAAAAACATCCTACACTCCCATTTTCTCATTCCTCATTAACCCATTTCAATTGTTTCTAGCTCTACTATTCTATAGACATTATTTTTTAAAAATATGTATTGAGCAAACAAGATGGAATAATAGTGACCAGATTTATCCTTCTCTCAGAAACAACTAGCTAAGACAAAATAAAACAAACCAGACAAAACTACATGAAACAATTTTCAAAATGGGAGACAACAGGCAATAAAGGATAGTAATCCTTAAGAGAAGAGAAACACATGAGGTGAGCCTGACTACTGCCCCAGCTTAGAGACTTAGTAAGTTTCCAGTCCACGGCACAAAGAGGGAGAAGTGAGGCGGAACGTGACTAATTCCCTGGGTTAAGGAAATTTCCCAGCTGAAAGTCTGGAAAGACTAAGGCATCGGACAAAGTGCTAGGGGAATGAGAGAGAACTCCAGAGATCTGCAGAGGGTCTCTCTCAAACATTCAGCAGAGTACTACGGCATATGTTTGAGGAAACTACCTCAGGCCACTGAAAGAACCATCTGAAAGGACTGGAGGGAACAGTGTCGGGTACTCACACAAGGCTGAGACCTATGACTGCTTCCACAAGGCAGACCAGAGAAAACTCCTAATTCATAGGTAGAGTACACAGAAAATCTTGTCTCGGTGGTGAGGAATAATTTTGCCCTAGACTGAGCACTGCTCCAGACTAGCCTAAAAAACCATAAAGGTAAGACCCAGTGGAATTAATCTTTTCCAAGCAACTTAACTGCATCCCAGAACAAGGCTCAAGATTTATAAGAATACAAAAATGTCTTATACTCAGTAAGGTGAAATTCAGAACTTCTGGTATTCAATCAAAGATTACCAGGCATGCAAAGAGGAGAGAAAACAAAACCCACAATGAGAATAACCATTCAACAGAAGCCAATACGGAATGCCACAGAAGTTATAATTAGCGGAACAGAACATCAAAACGTTTATTAAAGTACATTCCAAATGTTCAAAATGATAACCAAGGACATGAAAGTTATTAAAATTATTTAAATCAAACTTCTAGAAATGAAAACTATAATACGTAAGATGAAAAATACACTGGATGGGATTAATGACAGAATAGACATTGCAAAAAACAAGATTACTGAAATTAAAGGCATAAAAATAGGAACTATCCAAAATAAAAGTTTAAAAGAAATGAAAAGAGCATTGATAAGCTGGGGTTAACATCCAGTAATCTAAAAATGGGTAACTGGATT